AATCTCTTTCAACATATGATTGGGACATATCCTGTTTTTCTTACAGTGGAAAGCGTCCAGAATCAAGATAACAGCACTAGGCACCCCTGTCCCCCAATCCCCTAGCAACTGTTCTTGAACCAATTTTTTAGTGCCGATTTTAACAGGTGAAATATTGCGGTTTTACAGATAAAGAAAGCAAGGTGCACCCAGAATGGTTCTGATCGCCCAGTCAGTTGGCCTGATGAGTTTGAATGATGCCATTAATAGATTCAAACAATCATTTTGATATTTGTATTAAATCGCCTTCTAATTTGAAGCTATCTTTTAAGCTTCCCATGTATGTACAACGCTATAGCCAGATTAACTTTCGTTTAGGTGGCTTGTGGAGTGAAACAGCGTTTTAAAAAAATAACTTGCAGATGCATGAAAATCATTTATATCCGACTCTGAAATGAATGTCTTAATGTCTTTCTCTTATAGGTTGGGCTTTCTGATTTTAGGGGATGTAGGTCATAGTAAATTGACTTTATACTCAAATACATACAGACATCTATGAAAAGGTAATAAGGAGAAATACGAAAATGGATATTTATTGTATATAGTTAGTGATATTGACATATTCTGTTAAACCAAATGAAATTACTCTCTTTGTAAGACAAACACGATTGAATATTGTTTGTTTCAGAGGCTTCAACCTACCTGATGTTGTTTAAATCTTTATCAAACTTTCTTAGTGACATTCCACTATATTTTAAAACTGGTTGATCTTCCAGGAAAAAAAAAAGAGAGAGAGAAAAATCTTTCTACTATTCTGTTCCTTTGCTTATTATTACAGCTTTCCAGGTTGAGGAATAGATAGAAGAATAAACAAAAAGTTAAATAAGATACTTCATGTCAAAACCTGTCCCATGCGTGGACATATGCCCGTATCACACAGGCACATAAGCACTTGACCACACTTATTCTGAAACTAGCACACGAGAGTGTGCCTGTAAATTCTTGTCTCTATTTTGCATACTATTTGTTGCAATACCTTTCTTCTTACATAAGGCATATTTTCCCTTAAAAATCCATTTTCTTTAATAACATATATTCTTTTTTCAGATTATTAAAGTAATACACTCTTCTTTAAAAATTTTGAATAATTCATAGAAGTACAAGAAATAAAACAAAACTGTTCCCTTAGTCCTACTATCCAGAGGAAGTCTGCTTAGTATTTTGGTATAATTCTTATATAGAGTGAAGAATTTTTTTTTTAACTAAGTATAATATAAAGCCTATCTTATTTAAAAAATCTGGATTATACTTTACATATAATTTGTATTTGGCTCTTTACACTTCACAATATACTGTGAGCATTTCCCACATCATTAAGTATTCTTCTAAGTAACCAGAATACATCAGCAATAGCTCACTTAAAACAGTGAACGAGCTGCATTAAAAGCCAGCCAGAGCCCTACCGAAGAGCTGATGCAATGAATACCAATCATAGCTTAGTTGCTGTTCCATATGTTAATTTAATTTGACAGAGTAAGAGTCTTTGAAGTCCTAATTCTCTTTTGCATCCAATAAACCAGTTTTTATAGTGCCTGAACTTTTAGACATCAGCCTGCAGCTAAACTCATGTCGGGAAGTTGCCATGAGGTCGCATGTAACAATGGCCAGAGGGGAGTTCCTCTGGATGTCTTGTCAGAGAGGCGAGGGGGACTGTGAGGGGTCACTGGGGACGGGGTAGGGGGTTGGGGAGGGGGTGGTCAGTGTCTCTGGTGATAGTGTCTTACAGGCCTGTGGATTTGTTGCCATTTCACAGGAGCCCTCGAAGGGTGATTCCTACAGACTCGGTTTGCAGTAGTCCAGCAAGATTCGTTAATAAGCATTTGCATACATTTTTGTGTTTATTAGCGGGCTCTGTGGCTTTGGAAGGGAAAAGCTAAGCAGAACTCTCAGTGGCATGTGGTTTTTTGCACCCAGACTCGAACAGGAAGGCAACTCGCTATCGTCTTGCCCACCACCAACACTTAGAATTTGGACCGTGAGTCGGTTCAGCTCACAGAACGCTGTTCAGGGACATCGTTAGGGGTGGTGGGGGAAGAAAAGGACATCGGAGATCAAGACAGAAGAGGTTAAAAATAACAAATCGTGATGAATATGAAGTTGTATCAGTGCAAGAATTTAGAGTTTTGTTTTCTTATTCTTTGATTGTAAGTTCTTTGAGGGCAGAAAACCATGCTTGTAAGGTATGACTAGTTTAGATACTGACTCTTGGGGTCTTAATAGTCATTCCATCGGCTCCGCATCAAAGGGAGTGTCATATTTGCTACAAACGTTAGGAATCAGTGCCTTGTTAAACTGGGTTTCATTTACAATTACTGATCATCTACCGTGTGCCTGGACCAAAGTAAGGTTAGCATCTGGTTCCAAGGCGAATGCGGCAGACGTTGTAGCAGAGGATGAGTGGAAACCAAACACGTGAATGGTTAGCTTCAATAAAAAGGGACAAGGACTTTGGTGGAGTCCCATACCGGGAGTCCTAGGCCTCACGGCATTTGTCTGAAGTTAGGAGATAATTCACGATTAAATGAGTGTGAGGGGGTGAATGATGGAGAAATTTCAAAAGGAGTCCATGCCCCTCTTTGGAAGCATCTGGAAGGTCTGTTCCTTGGGGAAGCGCTTTGTAAATGACAGTAATTCGGGGATAGGGAGCAGAAAGTTGGAGTGGCCACTTAGGAGGCACACAAGCCAACATTTAGGGAAATTGGTTATTAACGGGAAATTATTGGACCAGTGCTTAATTTTTCCAGTAAGGATGTTTCTAGGTAACAATCCTGTTGTGACTGAGTGGTTCTGGGATGTGGTAGACATGGGATTAAGCAGCTGCACTGGATAGTAATGATGTAATTGGGTTTCCAGCATAATTTCCAGTCCTTCTACCGCTCCTGGGTGGTATCAGCTACTCCTGTGACCTAAGTTCCATGTTAGCAGCCCATGTCAGCTTTGGCCGCCGCTTTCCAGTCTGTACAAATGGAACTTGACTGTCTCTTTCCACTAAATTACTCAGTTTTTACTCCTTTAAATAAAACTAATACCAGGGCGCCTGGGTGGCTCAGTGGGTTAAGCCTCTGCCTTCGTCTCAGGTCATGGTCTCAGGGTCCTGGGATCGAGCCCCGCATTGGGCTCTCTGCTCAGCAGGGAGCCTATTTCCCCTCCTCTCTCTCTGCCTGCTTCTCTGCCTACTTGTGATCTTTGTCTGTCAAATAAGCAAATAAAATATTTTTTTAAATTAAAAAAAAAAAAACTAATACCATACCTGCCTTTGTCACTTTGTGCTGGTATAAAACTGTACTACAGACCGGGAAGCTTCTAAATAACAGAAAGTTGTTTCTCACAGTTTTAGAGGCCAGGAGGTCCAAGATCGGGGAGGTGACACAGTCTCGTGAGGTCCCTCTTCTAGGTTGCAGACATCTTGTTGGGTCTTTCCATGGTGGAAAGGGAAAGCAAGCTCCCAGGAGCCTCTTCTAGAAAGGCACCAATCCCATTCATGACCCAATCAACCCCAGAGGTCCTGTCTCCTCATACCATCACTCTGGGAGCTGAGATTACACCTGTGACTTTGGGGGAGACACATTCAGACCAAAATGGTACCTACAGAGTAGGAGTAAGCATTAGAGGAAATGAAATTCCCTCCTTGTGGAGGAAAAAAAAGCCAAATGAGACAATCAAGTGCACCAAGAATTTGCCTGAGACTTGGGATTACCCATGGGATTACCCATGTCTGACTGAAACATCTGTTCCGTGGGCTTTCTCTTTGCCCTCAGGGAGCTATTGGCACGAGCCATGAGCTGTTCCCCTCAAATCAGGGTACCTCACAGGCACATTGCGGTTCTTCTCTTCAGTGGGTCTCCTACTCTGTGCAGTTCCCTACTCACCCATTCCAACATCTTCTCTGTGCTTTGCCTCATCTCAGTAACACCTTGTCCACTCATCTCTGTAGTTTCCCCTCTCCACATAATTTCTTCCTTTCTTTCCTTCATCTTTCTCTGTATTCTTTCCGCTCTCTATAGTTCTGTGTTCTCTTCGCTCAAGCCCAGCCTCTGTCTTCTAACCCAAAGGCACTTGGAATTATGTGACATGTGTTTGTCCCTGCCTTGAAGGGGCCTTTATCTTCAGCGGCACTTGGAATTATGTGACATGTGTTTGTCCCTGCCTTGAAGGGGCCTTTATCTTCACCGGCTTACCCGGCATCTAACGGATATTTAATAAACGATCCTATTTCTGACCGTCATAATTCCAATAAGAAAGTTCATTCTGCTTTCCAAACAGTCAACTTACAAACAGACTTTTGGAACTCAACTCCAGGGTTGGTTGAGGACTTCACGAAACGTGGTCAAAAAAACAGCAAAAGGCTTTTTGTTGCAGAGCTGTAATCTTGATGTACTTTGGCCCCACCTGAATTCCACTGTAATTGCTTTTACAATATATATCCTGCCATCTACTTTAAAAGGTTTCATTCTGAACGCATCTGCTGGCGGAGGATGGGTTTGCTTTCTTTTCTAGGAAACTGCAGCTTAGCAAACTATTAGACTGTCAGACTTTAATTTTTCTGACTTCCACACTGTTGATTAATTTTTTTAAAAAAGCCAAAGAAATAGATTAGCTTTGTTTGTGCATTTTAGTCAATGATTATAGGTTAGCAATTTAATAATTTTAATAGCAGATAGCACATCTAAATCTCTTCTACCATTTGTCTGCATGTCACCCCCGTACCTGGGAGCCACAATGCTTTCAAAAGAGCACATCAAAGTAATTGTTTTGCCTGGCGCCAGTACAAATTTCTGCTGGGACCTGTCCCATTTAATATAAATTATATTACCTGTGGAATTTAAGAGGATGTAAGGAGTAGCGTGCCCTGCAGGCAGGAAATTTGAACTATGGTTTGCCTTTTTTTTTCTTTTAACTCTGGTTTGTTCCTGTAATATGGGATATTTAGCATCCCTAACTTCCGTTTAATCTTTTTGCAGGCGTATTTTGAATTTGCATTCTTATGGAAGACAAATTCAAAAGTCCTCTTATTCTCTGAGGCTCGCTTGACAATGAGAAATCTCTAAAGCTAGTGGTATCAAAGCAGGACCTAACTATGGGAAGGGGGGAAAGAGATGCTATTTGAATAGGTCTACTTAGAAACAGACCAAAAAACAAACAAACAGAGTGATGAAAATAGAGGCCTTTAACCTAATTTAACCAAGTCATTATGCTTCAAACCTGATGTCATGCCTCTGTTTTGCCTACATAGACACGAATGCAGAAGTCAGGCATCCACAGGCAGGGCCTTGGAGACATAAACTGCATAGTTAGAAATCCACTGAACCCAATTTTATATTTTGCTTAATGGAGGAAGATAGTAGACTTTCAACAGGAAGGAGAAACCCATGTCCACCCAGCTATTTAAATGAAGAGGTCCTCCTTCCACATACTGGCATACCTTCGATGACTTGGGTCACCAATATGCTAATGCCCTGTGGACACCCCCAGGGGCCCAGGTGGTGCTCAGACGTGAGATGGCAGCATACGTATCATTTCGGGTGTCAAATGTCACTAGGAACCTCCCCCCACCCCCCCACTACCGAAGAAAAAGGTAGACAAAAGTTAATAGTACAAAGGAAGAAATAATGAAAAGAGCCAGAGAGGAAGGAAGGAGAGAGACAGAGACAAACAGAGGGAGGAAAAGAGGGAAGGGGACTAAAGAGCTAAGACCAAAGCAATCTAAGTCTGCTTCTATCCAGCTCCCTTCTTCGTGCTCCGGATAATCCTTAACATCCAGTCCTTCCCAGGCCACAGCCTGGCCTTGAACACTTACCCCGTGGGACACCACAGCTGACAGAAGGCTCCTTTCCTGTTCCCAGCTGGTAAAAGGGGCCTCCACTTGATCTCTTAACTGAGTCATTGTCTTAACCATTCTCATGATACAGGTTCTCATCACCAGGATTGAATACTTTCTCCAAGTCTTTTTATTCTTTTGTCCAGTAATCCAAGTAGTGTCTGGAAGACAGATACTACAACCTTGAACAGTAGTGACCACTTGCTGAAACACTGTCTTAAATCTTTGATCTCTTGCTTAAAACCCTTGACTTCTTACTCAAACCTCACTTCTATAAAAGCGGTATTATCGTTTCAATTTTAGAAATCATTGAGCAAGATGTCCTATAGCTTTAGCCACAAGTATAAACACATGGCGTTGGTAATGCTCTGGAAGACCTTGCTGCTTTCTCTTTGCTCCTGTGTGTGTGTTTCTCTCTACCCCCCACCCCACCCCCTCCCCTCACCGTGGTCTCTGATTTATTGTGGATATCTTCAGATGGGAACTTTGGATACAGGATCCTGGCCACCTTCCCTAGTTTTCTCCTTGTTTCCCCCCCTTTTGAAAATAGCTCCTTATTCGTTCTCAGAGCACTGTCCAACTTAAACTGAAATGCACACCTTCATGGTTTTCCTTTGGTTTCTTCTGTGCTTCCTTTTTCATACAAAAGGCTAATTAAGTACCTTTTGCTTGAGGGTGAACTGAATTCAAACCCCCAAATTCAACTCTTAAGTTTTTGACGATACAGACTAAGTCACAGCAATTAGAAGTCACCAAATGTCAAGAAAGAGACCCGGTTTTTAACCTTCCCCGGATCTCCCCCCTCCCCGCCCACACTGCTGAAGCTTGTTCCTTTCAGCGTAGAGCCCCACAGACCCTGCCACAATGATCAAGATCCTTGTGAATAACAGCATGAAGCAATGAGGCTTGAGAAGAAGGATGGACATTTTCTAGTGCTAAAAATTAATGTGGATCTAGTAGAAACTCAACTCTTTATTTTGAAATAAGACTTAATATATATAATCATTTGGAATACTCTGATAACTTCTACTAGCAAGCTTAAGACACAAGCAAGTTTAGAAGATTCCACTGGGCTCAAGTGTTGGGTCTGCAAAAGAAGTGGATTTTTATTAGAAAAACAAATATTCTAAGGTTGGCATAGCAGACACTCTGTCTCTCTTTAAAGTTAGTTTTAGGGCACCTGGGTAGCTTAGTCGGTTAAGCGTCCAACTCTTGATTTAGGCTCAAGTAGTGATCTCAGGGTTGTGAGATCGAGCCCCAAGTTGGGCTCCATGTGGATGTGGAGCCAGCTTAAGGTTCTCTCTCTCCCTTTCCCTCTGTGGTCTGCACCCCCACTCTCTCGCCCTCTCTAAAATAATAATAATAATAATAATAATAATAATAATAATAATAGTTATAGATAAAAGAATAGCTTAACAATGGAGATGAGCTGGTTATTGGGAAGATGAGCCCTCTGAAAACCTTAACATGTTTTCAGCCTTCGCCGGAAGCAGGTGACAAGATAGGGTCCACATCCTCTGCCCAAGACAGCAGCCTCCCTGCTGGCACATTGCTAGGCAGAGCTCCAGGAAAAGCTGTGTGGTGACAGAGAGATTAGGAGGCAGGTAGCAGGGCTGGATCCCGTAGTTGTCTATTTCAACTATGGCCTTAGCATGGTCGATTCCACTAATAGAGCTCATCCCTAAAGCCAAGACTCCTAATGAGCACTTGGGCATTTCAATTTCCCTCATATCAAACAATTTCAATTCCATTTCTTTATTCCATGGGTTTCCTCACCCTGTAGCCCTCCCCTATCCCTTAGAGTTTAGAGCATCTGTGTGGACGGAATACCATACCACAGCGAAGGTTCGGTATTGATGAATATCCGAGATTTGGGATTCAGCACATTCAGTTATACATTTATCAACGATTTCGTGCTTGAAATTGTTTTACAAGCACGGCCCGCCAGGAAGGAGACTATTATGATAGCATTTTCTATACTAAATTCTGCACTCTGTGGATCTGGCCATATCTCTATGTATAGATAATATACTACATGGAACACTCTCGAGTTAGACACTATAGATTCCTTAATATTTATTATCTGTAACTATACTTTCTTCCCGTTAGTTTTTCTGTTTATGTTCTCCATCCAAGCCCCAAACACTCAATAGTTGCGATCCTTACCACATTTCCCAGAAGGATTCTTAAGGTAAACGAGAAGTGTTTTTAAAATTTCTTTAAATTTCTGTATATTATTTTAGGAAGCAAAGCAATTAAAACCTTTTAAAACATTAAAGTGAGCTTGATGTGTGTTTTATATCTTATTTCTCCATAGGATACAGTACTTTAAAATTTTCAGTACTGTAATAATAATAGATGAAAACTTGGGACCTTACCTGTTTCAAATTTGGAAAAAAAAAAAAAGAAAGAAAGAATAAACAAATGAAAGAAAGCATGTTTTCTGGGCACAGTCTTCATAGTGGGCTTCGGCAACATAAAGAGCAAAAGCTTTTAGACATCGCTTCCCACATCTAGAGCCGTTGTGAAACTAATCTCGTAACAGGTCTATAGAGGGCCGTGGGTGTCCACGTAAGTCCTTTTCATTGTTCTCTTACTCTCAGTATCACTTTTCCTTTGCAGTTCTTCTTCTGCCTTTTTAAGCAGTCTCTAGAATTTACGAATTAAGTGAAGGGAACAACACGGAGTGGTATGGTTGACAGTCAACCCTCCGTATGTGTTTGGAAATGCAGGTTAAGTTTCTGGAAAGAATCCTGGACTTGGGATCCATTCAAGGACTTAATGTCAAGGCTTAGTTCTGTCAGTTACTAACTAGGGAAGTCCTTTAGGCTCTCTGGGCCACAGTTTTATGTAACTCTGAAATGTTAATTGTCACGGGATAATTATGCCTAGTGTATACGGGAAGGTGAGAATGAAACGGGGCACGATATTTTTAAAACTGACATCACTATAAAATCTATAGAGATAGAAAGTTAGAGAATAAGCTGCTTTGAGGATTGCAAAATCCCCAGAAGTGATCATTTAGTACTTACATGTTTCTGCTCTGGGGCAGGCCGACACTTAAATTCTTCCTTTCAGATTAAAACCTGCATTGCTTGAAAAATACCCTCAGAGAAAGAAATGTTGTAGGTCTTTGCTTCACAAAGAGAGTCACATGGGATGTGACGAAAACAAAAATGTCTGCATTATTTATAATCCTGATTTTCTTGTTTTTTATTTATTTCCCCATCCGACATTTCTTCTATTTTTCCATTCCTTCTGCCATTTTGTGCTGTTTTGTCCCCTGCCATTCTGGGGCAGTTTTCCTTCTCTTCTTTCTCTCTAGTGAACTCCTTCAGTGATTTCCTCCATTTGAAACAAATTCCACCTTTCATGTCCTCCTCGGGGTTAGTTGTCTTGACTTCTGCACAGGAAGACGATTCCACAGTGGTGCTTAGCCTCAACTCCCCTCCACACAACCCTTCTGGTAAGGAAGCTTTCCTTCATGTTGCACTTGAAGTCCATTTCCTATTCTTATGTCTTCAGAACAAGTTTGAAAACAGCTGGTTACCATCCTTTAGCCCTGTCCTTTCTAGACGTTACTTCAAAAACGCTATATCACTTTTCAGTCTTTTTTGTCAAGCATGAGTTATAGAACTTCCTTTAACTTTTACTCCTCAGACATACTGTTCAGCCTTTTAATAAGCTGCATGGTGTAATTGAAAGAATATGGGCTTTGTAGTCAGACCTGGGTTGACATCTGGGCCAGTGTGACTCACTAGCTGTTTGACCCCAGCTACAGCACCTGACTTCTGTGAACTACAGTTTCCTCATCTGTCAGGTGGGGTTAATGGGACCCATCTCACAGGCTCCTTGCCAAAATTGATGACACTTATAACGTTCTCGGTATATAATCAGTGCTCTGATGAATGTTAGCTCCCTCCCCCTCTCCCTCTCTTGGTGCTTCTCTCCTACATCAGGTCATTTCCTTCTAGTTATGGAGCGTACGACTGAGCACAGGGTTAAGAATTTGAAATAACTCTGCTTACCCTTTCCTCGAGAGCACGCTCTCCTCCTCCCCCCATCATGCTGTTCCATCACTAGAGCCCTCTGAGGCATTCATGCCATTGCCATGTGCTACCTCCAAGAACCAGCTCTAAGAAGAAAACATCATGGGGAAACAATCTCAAAAGGAATCACTTACTTGACATTGGAGGAGTCCAGGATAGCTCTTGACCTCATTTTCACCCT